TTCAGCAGGTGCAAGGCACCCAGCAGGTAGGATACACCCCTCCCCCGGGGCAGGCGGGGAGGGCATGTGAGGGCAACAGTGGGGCTGTGGCTGTGGTTACCTGGCCTCCCCGCTGCTAGAGCCATCTGCTCACCTGTCCTTATCAAGATGTTCACTTTGCCACCCCTCCACTCACCTGGGCCAGGCCTCTTGGGGAAGTCAGTATGGTTCAGGGCTTTCCTCCTTGACCTCACAGCGGCTGCTGGTCCAGACGAGTGTGCAGGCCAAGCCAGGCCATGTGTCGCCCCTCCAGCTCACCAACATCCCTGTGCCCCAGCAGGTAAGGCTACCACACCTGGCCTTGGCCCTCACAGTGTCCCCAGGGTACAGAACCAACCTGCTAAAGCCTGCAGGGACCTACCCTCACCAGCACCCAGGACACAGGCTCCCCTCCGCCCCCAGTGTGTGAGACAGTTGGGGCCCATCGAGGAAGGAGAAGCCACATGAGTCACCTTAACAGAGAGAACTATGGATTGGCAGTGAGGAAGGTGGCTTGCAGGTCCAGCCTGGTGTCCCCAAGCAGAGAACCTAAAGCCAATTAGGTACCGAGAGCCCATAGCCAACACAGGGACTATGAGTGCTCTGTCTCCTGGAAGGCTGCAAGTGGGGTGCCAGGCTCAGCACAGACCAGTACAAAATCCTGTCAGGTTCAAGGGTGAGGCTCTCTGGACACAAACCCTGGCTCTGCCACTTATGGGCCCCAAGACCTCGGGCAAGCGCATTGGCTGTCCTGAGCTTCACTGTCACCCTCTGTGGCGTGGGGATAACAATGGTCTGCACTGGGGCTGTTGGGGCAGTTCCATCAGCCAACAGGCATGCAACACAAGCATGTCTCCTGGCTCGGCACAGATGCTCGTTAATGCTCGTTAACACCGTACGGCCTGTCATCAGTGAACTATGGTCCTTCTCCCTCCCGGCTCCAGGCTCTCCCCACACAACGGCTGGTGGTGCAGAGCACAGCCCCAGGTGGCAAGGGCAGCCAGGTCTCCCTGACCGTGCACAGCACCCAGCAGGTGCACTCACCCCCTGAGGTAGGTGGTGGCCCTATCAGCCGCCCTCCCTGTTCTTCTCCCCAGTTTGTCTGTGTACCTCCCAAAAGAATACTTGGGGCTCTGTGCCATCCCTAACTCCAAGCCCAGAGTTGTTCCTCCAGAGTCCACCCCTCTCCACTCTGAGCCCTGACATTGTCATTGATCCCAAGCAGGGTGGCTTGGCCACCTGGTTTCCTGATCTTGCTGTCTCCAGGAGGAGGAGGTGGTTCCCCCTCCCCAGGTTGAGATGGGCCATGCAGCTCCAACTCAGGAGTGTATCCCAGGAGACAAAGTGTACCCCTCTTCCTTCTGCAGGGTGGGAAGAGGGTACTCCTTGGACCACAGGGTGGAATCTAGGGACTCCCAAACATCATCGAGAATGTTGGGGGCAAGAATGTTGGCCAGGAGCATGGGTGCTGGCATTCAGAGCTCATGGTCAGACCCCCACCATTCCCCAGCTCAGCCATTTACTCCTGAGGCACCTGGGCAGGCCCTCAGAGTGTTCTGTGCCCAGAGTTTTCTCTGTAAAACAGCTAATGATACCTGCATGGCCCAGACCTCACAGGGGCCCTGTAACCAGCCTGTCTGGGGCAATGCCCAGTGCCACCACTCACAGCTATGTGTCCCTGGGCATGCCTGCTGCCATCTATATCTCAGCACTTCTGGAAATTAGGAAACCCTCACTTACCTACGCTTCCTCATCTCAGGGCTACAGCTCCTCCAGTTATAGAGACAGCAAGTAGCCCCTGAGCTAATATTAGATAAGTCTGGCCATCCTCACTGGGGAAGATGGGTCCCCGCACCAACACCTCTAGGCTGAACATCCAGCCTTGCCCAGGTGATCAGGGCTTGTGGCCAAGACTGGGCATTTGGGTGCACGGGATGCAGCCAGTTAGGTGGTTGGCACATGTCCCCATTGGCCACCGCCTTCTACACCAGCTCTTGGGGACGGCCCTCCTGGAAAGGGTTTTGTCAGGGCCCGGGTGCCCCAGACAACACTTTGTCTTCTTTCCTTTTAGCGGTCGCCAGGGCAGGCCAACAACTCCTCCAGCAAGACGGCTGGGGCCCCCACAGGCACAGTACCACAGCAGCTGCAGGTCCATGGTGTTCAGCAGAGTGTCCCCGTCACCCAAGAGGTGCCAGGCCGAGGCGGGTGGGAGCTGGGGTGAGGGGTCCTGCCAGGAGGTCTCTGCAGCCTCCTAGGGATGCCCATGGGAGCTGCGGTGGGAAGGCCTGTGAGAGCGGGCAGTTGGGGGTCTTGCCACCTTTGCCAAGCCCTTTGGCTCCTCTTCAGACCCAGCATCCTCATCTAAATAATGGCTTCTGCCATGGGGCCTGGGTGCAGGGTAACGGAGGCCGCTTTGAGGATGAAATGTGGTACTGAGCAGGTATTGGAAACAGCTTCGAGAAACAACCTTGGCCTCTTCAGGCCCATTGCCTGGAGGAAGCCCCAAGGCCAAGCCCAGCTTACCCCTAAGAGGCTCAGGGAAAGGCCCTAGCCATTTGGAGGAGGCAGCACTCAGCTGCCAGCCGTGGCAGTCAGAGCACGTTAAGAGGCAAGAGTTTTCTGCTATTTGGTTGTTACCACTGAAGTACTGAAGTTGGGGGGTTCCCAACCCCTCAGAGAATCAGATGAAAGCCACAGATCCTCTTTTTTGGAGAAAGCAGATACTACACCCCAAAGGATTCACAGATATTCTCCTGCCTGGCACCAGAGCCCCTCTTAACCTCGAGATCTGGGTTCAAGTTGGTTCCTCACCACTCAGCAGTGCCCCACCAGCCTCTGTCCCTCACTGTTCCCTGAGGGTGATACCCATATCTGCACCATAGCATGTGAGTGAGGACAGTTGGAATCACAGATGTGGTGTTGCGGGATAAGCCTGCAGGGACTCAGTCTCCAGTTCAACTCTCAGCTATACTTCTCTTCAGCCTTGACTTGCTGAGCGGGGGTCCACACCTATAACTGGGTGCCCAGAATCAATGTGGTAGTGAACATGGAAGGCACTTGGTACAGGGCCTGCAGCGAAATGCTGGAAAAGGTGGCCTTTTTCTTACCAGGCTACTTCCAGGCTTACATGAGTGCATGCGGGCAGGGGCTGGGTACTAAGAGACATGTTTGCAGTCATCATCGGCATGATTACCATGGTCTGACTTCCTTTTCCCTTCCCAGAGGTCCGTGGTCCAGGCCACTCCTCAGGCACCCAAAGCCAGCCCTGTGCAGCAGCTCACGGTGCAGGGTCTCCAGCCAGTCCACGTGGCTCAAGAGGTGCGTGTCTCCCTCACCTAATTCTGGGCAAACGGGCTGGGCCTGGGCTGGGCCCAGGCTGGGTTGGGCTTGGGAGGGGAGGGCTGGAGAGGGTGGGAAAGGATGGGAGGGATGGGAAGGGATGCAGGCCCCTCAGGCTGCAGGAAGGGATTGGAGTCACCCCAGGGGTCCTCAAGGTTCCAGCCCCGCGCTGGGCCCCACCTTTGCTTGTGGGCTTCTGACCGTGTCCTGGAACCTCCTTTACCCGGGCACCTGGCAGTTCAGGGCCCAGGTTTTGCTAAGAGAGATCTGGAGTCTCCTCTCCCTGAGACACGGGGGCGGGGATTTTCTAGTCAGGTTGCTGTGAGCTCAGCAGCCCGGTGGGCGGTGGAGGCCTGGAGCCCCGCCCACGGCCGCCCTTGGTGACCCCCCAGTGTCTCTGTTTGTCCTCCAGAGCTCAGGCAGTCAGTTTCCCGCTAGGAAGGCAGAGCAGCGAGAGCCCCGGCCCACGCCACCACCGGAGCCGCCGCCCCGGCCGCCCACGCCTGGGCCCGGGCCAGGCGTGCTGTCCCCGGAGCTGCAGCCGCTCCCGCCTGCGTGCAGCGGCGAGTTCCCGCAGCTAGGCAGCCCCCAGCCGCCGCCGCCTCATTACCAACCCGGCGCCGAGCAGTGGGTGGAGTTGGTGGGCGTGCTGCCCCCGCACCTGCTCCTGCCGCAGCAGAAAGTGGTCCTCGAGCCACTGCCCGGGCTCCCGGCCCGAGCCAGCCCCGACCAGAGGGTCAGGATCCAGAGAGTCCCCCAGGTGCTAGTGTTCGGCACGGCCGCTACGGCCCTCAAAGTAGGTGGCGGATGCACGGGCGGGGGGCAAGAGGCGGGCGGGGGCGGGATCCGCTGGGCCCGGCCCGCGCCCGGCCCCACAGGCCTTAGAGACCCTACCTCCGCCTAGTCTGGGGACCTGCCTCTGACCCCCACCCCCCAAGCGGGTTACAGGTCCCAGGCTCCACCCCTCCAGAGGGGGGAGGACGGGTTGAGGTTGGGAACGCAGGCCCCGCCCCTAATGGCCTGTGGGTAGTTCCAGGTTCTGTCCTACAAACCAGGGCCCCATCCCCGGCCCCTGGCTCCTCCCCTAAGTGTTGTGCATGGATTCCAGACCTGCTCCTGCAGATGGGGTTCATCCCTGATGCAGTCTCCACCCTTGAGGCCCTGTCTGTAGTTGCAGGCTCCGGCTTTAGTAATATCCTTGTCTCGGTGCTTGGTTCTGCCCCGGGGGTCCACCTTTCACACCCTCAATAGGACCCTGTCTGGGGTCCCCCCGCCCGCCTCACCTCAGGTCCCACCATTGCTGTCCCCAGCCCACGCAGAGAGTTCTGGCTTCTGACACAGCTCTGCGTGATTCCCAGCCCTGGCCGAGGCCGCAGACCCTGGGCCTCTGACCCCTGGCCTTGTTCATGGTGTATTCAGAGACCCAGAAGTGCAGCCTTCCAGCCCGGAGCCGGTGTCCTGGCGAGGCTGGGTACCCACCAGCCCTTTAGAGGCAGAGGATCAAGCCCACCTCTGACTCTGCACGGCCTTCCTCCTGCGCCAGGTGCAGCAGCTCCAGCAAGTGCCTGTCCCACACGTGTACTCCAGCCAAGTGCAGTATGTGGAGGGCGGGGATGCCAGCTACACGGCCAGTGCCATGTGAGTGGGGGGAAAGGCTGGGGGAGTGGATGGGAGGAGGGTCACGGGTCTGCGCGAGATACCCCAGGACTAACCTTTAGTGGGTCAGCCAGCCTGCGAGGCCTCAGGTGACAGATGGTGGGCGTTCCCCAAGGGCAGCTAGCAGCCGCCCGGCAAAGGTGAAGTAGGATCCCTTGTAGGTTGGGAAAGGGATCCTACCATAGCCCAGGGCTTTGGAGTCAGATGGGCCTGGTTTTTGAAAAAAAAAAAAAAAAAAAAAAAAAGTTAAAAGGTTTACAACATAAGAATTTCTAAATAACAGGGAATGTTACACAGTAAAAAAGAAATTCCCTTCACTTCCGACACCCGACCCTGCCACATAAGTGACACTGTGACCAGTTTCTTTGTTTCTTCCCAGAGATATTCTGGGAATAGAAACATTCCCCTTTCTTTGTTCAGAAATAAGGGCAGCATATTCTGGCCCCTATTTCTTCCACCAATTGTGTATCTCAGAACTTGTCCCTTATTTGTTCATGTGGGTTCCAGTCACCCTGTTTCACTGCTGTGTAATACTCCACTGTGCAGATGTAGCATGAATGATGTAGCTAGACCCCACTCAGCTGACATGTAGGTGACTTCCACTCCCTGGTACTGTGCATAGCACAGCATTAATACATGCCGCATCAGGCAGATGCCATGCCCCAGGTGTGCCTCAGCCCCAGCTCTGGCACCTTCTTGCCTGGGATACTCCATATGCTACCTTCCCTCTCCCATCCCCTGTAGTAATAATTCTAGGACTATAGTTATTGTTGTTTCAGTTTTTAAAAGTTTCATTTCATTTTCTTTGCATTTGTCTGATTTTTTTTTTTTTTACATCCCTATCACCTGTTCCTGTGGGCATGACGCTGGGGGTGGACTAGCTCATGGACCCTGCTCAACTCAGTCTCTGGGTCATGATGCTGTGGCTACCCTGGGGACCGTGGCCCTGGTACTTGTCATGGTCCATGGTGTCCAGCTGTCTAACAGTTCTGTCGATTTATTTTCAGTGCTGCCAGTCTCTTGGCCATTTAACCAGAGCTGTCAGGAACCACAGAGGGCATTTCAGAAAGGAGATCAGCTCCCAAGGACCCCTGTAATATTAGAATCAGACCTGAACCATGAGCCTGGGCCTTGAGGTCCCAGGGTGGCTCCCTCTGCCTCCCTTGGTAGCATCTGTCCCTTGTTTCTGTTTGAATTCTCTTTCTGCTTATAGTATGTGTGATCCCATGTGGTCCATCATTACTGTCAGGTTCTTCTGCTATGTCAGCTTCTTGGGGCACTGTATCTTCTGTCTCTCCCTTGCAGTAGATTGTTATTGGGTTATTAGCCCTTGGCCAGTCTTGATCTCCACCCCAGCCAAAGCCACAGCGCGTTCACCTCCTACCAGGCCACGTCCAGAGACGCACACATTCATTCATTCAGTCTTTCAGCAAATAGCTGCCAGAGCAATATTTTTTGCAGCAGGTGTGTGGGGCACTAGGCTAGGCTGGCTGTGGTTCCTGCTGCTGGAGCGGGTGGACACTTGCTGGTGCCAGCTCAGATCATGGGCTCTCAGTGTCAATCATGTAGTAGATGTAGACCGGAGCAGAGTGATCAAGATCTGTATCTAGGTGTCTGATGGGCAGGCCCACTCACCTCGTGACCACACTTCTCACCACTTTGCCTGCACCAAATCCCTCTCCTTGCTGTCTGTAGAAGCCTGCAAGGCTCCCTCTCCAGCTTCCTTCAGGGGATGGCTTCAGCAGCACCTTCTGAGCCAGTCTGACCTGGACCGGCTTTGCTACTTTTCTGGATTCTTAAAATTTAATGTTATTTTAAATCACTAATACATTGAAAGGTCTCAAAAATCAAAACTATGTCCAACGATGTTTAGTGAGGCAGCAAGAGAGGTGCCCCCACTCACCCCCTCTGCACCCCTACAGATGGCAGACAGATGTTAGATATGAAGTTCGGCTTAGTCTCCCCTCTCTTCGCAAGGTACGATCCACACCCTTCCCTCCTCTCGTGTTCACCTAATGGAAGGTTCTGGAGCTTGTTCTTTGGCAGGACCATGAGACCTTCCTTCTCCTCCTTCCTTCTCTGACTCTGGAGAATTCTATCACCTTTTACTTAACAGCCTCCTAAAATTAAACACCTGGTCATTTTTACTCATGCTGCAATTAGCAGCCTCCAGCCTGTGTCACCTGAGGCAGGTCCTGGGCTAACTGGAGAGCTCTCAGGGCAGGATAATGTGTTTTTCAGTTGAATGAAATGTGTGACCTATTTGAAGTGACTAAGTCTTTCTGCCTCGGCTTTCCCACATGGAAGGTGGGGACTCCTATGTCAGGGGGCTGCTTTGAGGATTCAGTGGAAAATTGCCCATCAAGTACGTGGGGTGGTGCCTGATCCAACACACAGGGCTGTGGCTTCCTGCTCCTACCCTGGGAGCATTCGCTGCATTAGCCCCCTCAGTCGTGCCCCTTGTTACCCAACTTTTGCCCCTGACTCACTTCCTCTGTTTCTTTCTTAGCCGCTCCAGTACCTACCCTTACCCTGAGACGCCGCTATACACACAGACAGCGGGCACCAGCTACTATGAGGCTGCAGGCACAGCTGCCCAGGTCAGCACACCGGCCACCTCCCAGGCTGTGGCCAGCAGCGGCTCTGTGCCCATGTACGTGTCTGGCAGCCAGGTCGTTGCCAGCCCCACCAGCAGCGGGGGTGGAGCCAGCAACAGCAGCAGTGGCGGCAGTGGCGGTGGTGGCGGTGGTGGTGGCGGTGGTGGTGGTGGTGGCAGCGGCAGCGGCAGCGGAGCAGGCACCTACGTGATCCAAGGTGGCTACATGCTGGGCAGTGCCAGCCAGTCCTACTCCCACACCACCCGTGCCTCACCAGCCACTGTAAGTACCAACCTTGGCCCCCAAGGAGACAGGCGGTGGGGGGCCCTGGGCAGAGATGGTGGGTGGTGGCTGCAAGCCACCATTAGCAGGGGCCTAGGTGGCCTGGTGCCAGAGTGCTCAGATGGCCTGGGATTGAATCCTCACTGTGTGACCTCAGACAAGTTATTCAGCCTCTCTGAACCTTAGCTGATATGCATGAAGCTCTTAGAGTGGTACTGCAGGAAGTGTCATCTACTCTGATTATAACTGATGATAGCAAATAGGTAGCGGTGGAGGCGGGGGCAGGGAGGCAGGCACTACAATGGAGGAGCTGCCCTGAGCAAGGTTCTCTTTCATCTGGAAGGCAGTGAAATAACCTGCCTCTGCCCAGAGGCGTCTGTGAGCAGTCACTCAGGCAGCCCTGGATCCCAATCCCATGGCTCCTTACCAGCTCTGTGACCATGGGTGGGTTGGGGCCTGGTAGTTCTGGTGTAGTCCCTGTTCTCTCAGAGCTTGGGGTATGGAGCGGAGGCTTCCCCACGTTTTAATTATCGCCTTCCCACGTGCTGACCCATTGTGGACCACATAACCGAGATAGACCTTTCACATGAACCCATGCAGCCTGGCTTCTAGTCTGTTTTTTTTTAGTGCTGGTGTGACTCACCTAACTGATTTCACGAACCCCTAATGGGTCCTCACCTGCAGTTTGCAAACATACCGTGTTGGAATGGCGCTGTCTGATAGAAATAGGGCTGTCTATTTAGTGTTACAATAGTGCTCTCTTAGGTGATAGAAATGTTCTCTCTGTGATGCTCTATTCAGAGGCCTCTGGCCACATGTGGCTATCAAGCACTTGAAATGTGGCGGGGTTCACCGAGGAGCTGAGTTGAGTTACATTTTTTAAACTATTTTGATATAATTGTAGATGCACAGGAAGCTGCAAAAATCGTAGAGAGATCCCCATGGGCCCTTTCCCCAGGTTCCCCTGCTAATTGCATTTGATATAACTGTAGTACAGTATCCAAGCAGGCCACTAGCATCAATATAGTGATCATAACTGGAAATAGATTCAGGAAACCACCACCACAGCCAAGATGCAGAAACTGTTCCAGCAGCACAAAGATCTTCTTTCTGCTAACTCTTCATAGTCATCCCTCCCTCTCTGCCAACATCCCTGACCCCCTGCAACCACGAATCTGTTCCCCATTTCTACAATGTTGTCATTTCGAGAATGTTCTATGAATGGAATCATATTCTCTGTGACCTTTCGACATTGGCTTTTTCTACTCAGCATAAATTAATTTTAAATCATATTTAAATAGCTATATGTGGCTGGCAGCAACTGTATTGGACAGTGCCATTCTAGAGAGTTTCATGGGATTTAGTTCCCACAGACCATTGTGTGGTGATCAGGATCACAACTGGAAATAGGTAGAGCACTTAGGAATGAGTACAGCAGTCCCCCTTATCTGTGGGGAATACGTTTCAAGACCCCCAGAGGAGGCCTGAAACCACGGATTGTAACAAACCCTATATGTATTATGTTTTTTTCCTATACGTACATACCTATGATAAAGTTAAATTTATAAATTAGGCACAGTAAGAGATTAACAACAAAACATAATAAAAGAGAACAATTATTAACAACATACTTAATAAAAGTTTTGTGAATGTGGTCTTTCAAAATATCTTATTGTACTCTATTCACTTGTGATAAGAGATTGATACAGTGCCTACGTGATGAGATGCAGTGAGGTGAGTGATATACACATTGTGACATAGAGTTAGGCTACTAGTGACCTTTTGACCATAGTCTGCTTTAGGTGATCCTGGATCCTTGGATTCTGACACCGCAGAAAGTAAAACCTAAACCGCCGATAAGTGGGGGACTTCTGTACTCAAGAAACTGAAGCGATTCTTAGCACTTTTTCATCCTCACTGTGGCCACAGGTCCAGTGGCTCCTAGACAACTATGAGACAGCCGAAGGCGTGAGCCTGCCACGGAGCACCCTATACTGCCACTACCTGCTGCACTGCCAGGAGCAGAAGCTGGAGCCCGTCAATGCCGCCTCCTTTGGCAAGCTTATCCGCTCCGTCTTCATGGGCTTGCGCACCCGCCGGCTGGGCACCAGGTGGGGCTACCCCTCTCCCGATAGCCACAGGCCCACCGTACCCCAATTTATCCAAGGCCTCAGCTCCCCCACTCATGCCCTTGCTCCCCACTGGCCTCTTCACAACTTCCCACCCCAGGGCCCTGGCTCTGCTGGCTGCCTTGCATGTTTTTTCCCTCCTCCTTATTCAAATGTCCCCTGGCCCCCTTAATGAAAACTGCAGCCTTTCCCCACCTCCCTGACATTCCCCACCCTGCCCCCTTCCCTGCTCGCTTTTTCTCCTTAGCACACCTCATCATCCAACATGTCTTTTATGTTACTTCCCTTGTTTCTGGCCTATATTCCGATGCTGAAAGGCATATACCTTGTGAGTGCAGGGGCTGCATACAGTCAGTGCTTTATTAGGGTCTTTGAGTCAGTGAATTCATACAGGAAGGAATGGGCAGCCATTCCACGAACCCACTCTTCCCTGCCTCTCTTTTGCAACCCGCACACCTTCCCGAGGTGTTCCCAACTAGGCATTGCCTCATAACCTTGTGCAAAGTCTCCCCTCTCTGTGCTTCCATTTCCTCACCTGTCTATTAAGGATGCTGGAGCACCATGCATAGTGTAGGGATGAGGAGCACATGGATTGATATGTGCTCAGAGCTCAGAACAGCACCTGGCACGTTCTTATGACTGACTAGCAATCAACAAATCTTTACTGCATGCCTGCCGCGTGCCAGGATCGGGGGTTGACTTCGCAAAGCTTGGTTGGTACATGGGGGCCTCTCCTGATACCTGTAGCCCCTATACTCCCCTAGCACAGCACCTCTGCCTCTTAGAAATGTGGGTCTTCTCCTAGTGGGCTCTGTTTGGCCCCCAAGCAGCGAGGAGGTGGGTGTCATATGAAGCTCCCAGTAGGTGACCGGTGCCCCCCCAGCCCAGCCCTCACCCTCTGCCTCCCTCCCAGGGGCAACTCCAAGTACCACTACTATGGCCTACGCATCAAGGCCAGTTCACCCCTGCTGCGGCTGATGGAGGACCAGCAGCATATGGCCATGCGGGGCCAGCCCTTCTCACAGAAGCAGAGGTAAGAGGGTGGGCTGGACCCTGTGCTGGCAGGTGGGGAAGGGCGTGCTGGCCGACCCCCACCCAATCGCCCCGCCCACCCCTTCTCCCCCAGGCTCAAGCCCATCCAGAAGATGGAGGGCATGACCAACGGTGTGGCCGTGGGGCCACAGCAGGCCACCGGGCTGTCAGACATCAGCGCCCAGGTCCAGCAGTACCAGCAGTTCCTGGGTGAGAGCCCCCTGGCCTATGGGCCGGGGCCCGGGGCAGGGTCTGTGGTCCCAGATGGTTCACTTGCCCTCTCTGACCTTATCTGCCACTGCACATGGGGGACCCTTGCTTGGTAGGAAAGTGGTGACAACTTAATAAGATCCTAGGATGAGGCTCCATGGGGATAGGCCGGCGGGGACAAAGGGCCTCATAGTGTCCCCTCCTGCCTCCAGATGCCTCGAGGAGCCTCCCTGACTTCTCAGAGCTTGACCTCCAGGGCAAAGTGCTGCCCGAGGGTGTCGAGCCCGGGGACATCAAGGCCTTCCAGGTCCTATACCGGGAACACTGTGAGGTAGGGCAGCCTGGTGGACGGGCAAGGGTGAGGGAGGGCCGTGCTGCCCTCTGGCCCCCCTGAGCATCTGGCCTCCCCAATAGGCCATTGTTGACGTCATGGTGAACCTGCAGTTCACCCTGGTGGAGACGCTGTGGAAAACCTTCTGGAGGTACAATCTTAGCCAGCCCAGTGATGCACCGCCGCTGGCCGTGTGAGTCCTTTGTGGGAAGCGGGAGGAGGGAAGGAAGTGGGGGACACCTTGTGAGTCAGCAACCAGGGCTGTAGTAGCCCAGACTTTGGGTATCATGCAGGAGTGGGGGCACCTGCATGGGCCCTGTAGTTGGCGGGGTACACATGGCCTTCTGACCCCCACTCCAGGGGTATGCATGTGTATGGGCCTAACGCTGAGTGCATGGGACAGTGTGTCCCACTGAGTCATTTCCTCCCTGCAGTGTATGATTGGGTGGGTGCCTGTGTCCCAGCATGCAGGGGGCACTAGGGCCTGACCTCAAGGGTTGGTGGGAGGCAGGGAGCATCTGCCTGACCCCTTGCAGGGGGCTGCCCACAGGCACGACGAGGCTGAGAAGCGGCTGCCCAAGGCCAGCCTGGTGCTGCTGTCCAAGTTTGAGCCTGTACTGCAGTGGACCAAGCACTGTGACAACGTGCTGTACCAGGGCCTGGTGGAGATCCTTATCCCCGACGTGCTGCGGCCCATCCCCAGTGAGTACACTGCTGCCACCCCCTCAACCCCATTCCCTCAACCCCCCACCCCCAAGTCCTGATCAGCCCCCACTGCCACCCACAGGTGCCTTGACCCAAGCGATCCGGAACTTTGCCAAGAGCCTGGAGAGCTGGCTCACCCACGCCATGATGAACATACCTGAGGAGATGCTGCGGGTGAAGGTGAGGTGGCCGGCCTGGAGTCAGCCTGGCCTCTCCCTCTGGGCTTTGGGGCCAAGGTCTGGGGGCTGACGCCCGTGGGGGGGCTTGGTACCTCTGCCTGGTAGAGACAGTAAGATTCGTCCCCATGCCTGTCCCCTGGGAGCGATCTTTGGGCGTTGTCTTTATAAACCGGCTTCCTCACTTACCCACTTCTGGAACACAATCCCTTTGTAGATATTTTGGACACAATGGAGCGTCTTAAAAAAATAAAAACCCAACTACAAACTTGAAGTAGTTCTCTTCAGACATCCTCCAGAGAAAGTGCTTTAGGTGCTTGGAAATAGATCTCATTAAAAAAAAAAGGAGCAACACTTACAAGGAAACACCAACATCCCTCTCCATCAATGCTGCACATTCACTAACTACTTAAAAGTGAGGAATTAGGTGGGGTGTGCTTGCTCTTGGGCCCCCCCCCCAAAAAAAAGGTTTTCCTTTTAGTCCTTAAAATGCTAACATGACAGCTAAACAGAACCGGATGTCTAAAGAAACACCCCTGGGTGTGTTGGACACAGGGCAGGGCTTGGGGCCTGGGGAGAGAGTAGAAGCCTGGGTAAACCCTTCAGAATGGACAGGACTCATGTGTTCATTTTTCAGCACGCATTTATTAAGCTCTACTGTGTGCCCAGCGTGGTTCTCGGTGCTGGCAGCACAGCAGTGACCAAGATGGACAAAATTCACACCCTCGTGGAGCTGACACTCACGAGAAGAATAATCTAAACAAAATGGAACAAAATTTTATTGAAGCAATGCTCTATCTAGGCAGTGCCCTCCGAGATTTTGTTGTGTCCTTTCGTTAAAAAAAATAGAATTGCTGATCAGACATAAAACATTGATTTTTTTTTCGACCCATACTTTGGGTGGGTGGACACCCAAAGTTTAAAAATCCCAACTCCTTGATCTCCCAACAACAGCAAAGCAACGAGGCACACCTTCCTCCCTTTTTTAGGAGAAATGGGCTCAGAGAGGTTGCAATGGTCGGGGCAGAGGACTGTGGGTGTGAGTTTTGCATAAGCCACAACCGACGCCCCCCACCCTACCCCGTACCCGGGTCACACAGGTGGCAGCTGCTGGCGCCTTCGCTCAGACACTGCGGCGCTACACGTCGCTCAACCACTTGGCGCAGGCTGCGCGCGCTGTGCTGCAGAACACGGCACAGATCAACCAGATGCTGAGCGACCTCAACCGCGTGGACTTCGCTAACGTGCAAGTGAGTGTGGGCTGGGCAGGTGAGTGAGGGGCGGGGCAAGGCGGCCCCCCGGGCGGCTGCTGAGCCGTGGGCTCCCTCCCGCTGTGCCCCAGGAGCAGGCCTCGTGGGTGTGCCGCTGCGAAGACCGCGTGGTGCAGCGGCTGGAGCAGGACTTCAAGGTGACGCTGCAGCAGCAGAACTCACTGGAGCAGTGGGCAGCCTGGCTGGACGGCGTCGTGAGCCAGGTGCTCAAGCCCTACCAGGGCAGCACCGGCTTCCCCAAGGCTGCCAAACTCTTCCTCCTCAAGTGGTCCTTTTACAGGTGCGCACAGGTGGGGCAGGATCCAGAGAAGGCTCCGCCTCTGGGGGCTAAGGTGACCTTTTATGAAAGTGGACGTCCTTTTGGCTGTGGGCGGGGCGAGGGCCCTCAGCTCTCATGGGTGCATGCCCCAGTGAAGCCAGTTCTGGCCGGCAGAGGTAGCTGGGCTTGCCGGGTCGGGGGCAGGGGGAGCCGAGGAGCCAGGTGGGCCTGACAGCCCCCTCTCTGCCACCGCCCCCAGCTCCATGGTGATTCGGGACCTGACCCTGCGCAGCGCCGCCAGTTTTGGCTCCTTCCACCTCATCCGGCTGCTCTACGATGAGTACATGTACTACTTGATCGAGCACCGCGTGGCCCAGGCTAAGGGCGAGACCCCCATCGCTGTCATGGGCGAGGTGCGCACAGCGGGGCGCTGAGGGTACGGGCAGGACATCCCTTGGCGGGACCCTCACCCCTTCTCATCCCTCCTTCCAGTTTGCCAACCTGGCCACCTCGCTGAACCCCCTGGACCCGGACAAGGGTAAGCGAGGCGTGTCCCTGCCCAGGGCCCCGAGTTGGGGGTGGGGGATGGCAGACAGGAGTGTGGGGCTGGGGTGGAGGGGGCTGGTGGCAAGGGCCCCACGCTGAACCGGGCCTGGTCCATGTGTCCCAGACGAAGAGGAGGAAGAGGAGGAAGAGAGCGAAGATGAGCTGCCACAGGACATCTCGCTGGCAGCTGGCAGTGAGTCGCCTGCTCTGGGCCCCGAGGCCCTGGAGCCTCCGGCCAAGCTGGCGCGGACGGACACACGTGGCCTCTTCGTGCAGGCGCTGCCCTCCAGCTAAGCCTCCTCTTCCTCATCCACCCGCCCCCGCTGCCCCTCCACACCAGGGTCCCTCACAGCTTCTGTGGCTTCACTGTCCGCCCTCCATCCTTGGCCAGGGCCGGATGGGAGCCTTCCAGACAGGAAAGGCAAAGGGGTCCTCGCCCCCAATGGGGCCGGCACAATCACAGGGCCGGGCGGAGCTGCAGCTGCAAACTCTGACACAAAAGACGTGCCTTAAGGAACCCGCCGCTGTGCCCAGGTGCCCCTTGGGGCAGCCAGCTTGGCCCCTTGGCCTGGAAGGCTGCAGCCTCTCTCTTCCCCGCCCTGCCCTCCCACCACCCCAGGGGGCAGGCAGGCAGGCCCCCTTCCCTGCAGAACTGTTAACTTATTCAGCTCGCTGGCTTTGCACAAGCCTGTCCTGGGCCCAGCCCTGAGCCCCGGGTGGGCACAGGTGGGCATCACCTAGAGACCGCCCCCTCCCTCAGCAGCAGCCCTGGGACCCCTCCCCCAGCAACCCCACTGCTACCCCCTCCTTGGTATAAGTGCAATTAAAGCCGTGGGTGTCGCATCTTCTCCAGAGCTAGGCCCTCCCTTGCCCCACAGCCCTAGAGGTGGGCACTGCCAGGCCTGGCTCAGAAGGGAGGGTGGCAAGGGGCACTGCCTCCAGCTTCCAAAGAGCAGTGGGCTGGGCCTGGCGGAGCTCCTAGGGGCCTGCTGCGGGCAGTGGGCCCAGAGGTGGCCATACCCGCAGAGGCTGGGGCTCTGCTGGCTCAGATCCAAGACCCCCAAGTCCTGTCCCAGGCCTTCCCGCCGGTTTGTAATGGAACCTCTGTGCTTCTCCATGCCCTGTGCCATGCGCCGCACATACACCCCCCACCCCGCCCCCCACATGACTTTTGCGATTGGTGAGTGCCGCCTGAGCGGAGTTGGTAACTTGTTGGGTTTTTTTCCAACCATCATGGCCTTATCTGTTCTGGTTTTCTCAGTGTTTCAACCTGTGAGATAGATGTTTATGGCAAAAAGAAAAAAAAAAACCTAACCTATTGTATAAAAATCACTATTTTGTGTGCTCCGCGTGCTGTAGGCTTTTGGGGTGGCCTGCCCACTCCCCTTCTTGTCCTTGGGCCTCCCCTCCCAGCGGTGAAAGTGTCCCCGCGTGTGGTAGTCTAGTGTGCCGAGCTGTTTTCTACCTTTTTGTAGTCTTTCTTAAAACAATAAATTCCGCTGTGGTATTTGGCTACTGCTGACTCAAGGGCCTTGGGGGGAGGCAGTGCTTGGGGCTCCAACTGTCCCAAGCACAGTAAAGGGAACTCAGTGAGGTTCAGAAATAAAACATTTATTACATGAAGAGGAATAACGGAGGGGGGAAGAGAATGGCCACGATGTTTGCCACCTCAGATACGGGAGGCTAGGGGTGGGAATCAGGGCCCATTTAGCCTCCCAGAGGGGCAGTGTTCACACCTGTAACCTGGGAAAGAGGCAAGGAGCAAGGGCCCATGCCCAAGCCTGGCACAGGGTGAAGGCAGGTGCTCGAGGCTGGTGGGACAGGGGGCTCCCTCCCTCTGCCCTTCCCAACTTAAATAGGCATAAATAAGAAGCGTCCAGACTCTCAGGCCACCGGGGACTGCCCCGCCCAGCCCCCTCCCCACAGCCTAACACTAGTGGCGGTCGTCAGGCAGCCGGCCAACCAGGAAAAGGCTACCAGGAAGGCGGCCAGCTCCCAGGCCATGGAGGTAGTTGGAGTCAGTGTCCAGGCTGGCCGGGCCCTCACAGCACAATCCACGTGTATCGCTCGCTGTCTGCCAGAACCTTCAGTGAGCACCCTGCAGGGAAGGGTTGGAATAGACTATGGAATCTCTACAGGTTCAGGCTGTTGGAGGTACCTGCCTCTTCTCCAGACCTGATTTGGGCCCAGAAGGTTCTGGAAGACAGGAACCCTGCTGTTATCTCTGCCTCCCACTTGTAGCCACCCAATAAATGTATGCTGAATGGATGAGCGACTGGCTGGGGGTCCCCAAGTGCCACACCTGCCAGGCCCCTGGGCTTAGCCTGGCTGGGCTACCCTCCCCACACCTCGATTCCATGGCATCCACTAGCATGGCCAGAGTGCTCATTCATTCAGCAACACAGGAGTCAGTGCCTGCTCCGAGCCTGGCCTGGCACTGGGATAAGGACCTCTGTCCTACTGTCATCAGATCATAGGGCCCACCTTTGTGCAGTGCCTCATTAGTCATCCTGTTGACGTATCGTCCGCTGCTCTCTGGCACCAGCCACTTCATGACCATGTCCACACAGCTCTTGCGGTATGAGCTCCAGACGCTGCCGCTGAGGGCAAGGGGTGAGCACTCTCATTGCTCTGGCCACGCACCCTGGCCCCCAGCTCCGGGCCAGGCCCCTACCCCAGCCCAGCCTTACCTGGTCTGCCCTTTGACCTCAGTGAGATCACCCACGCTGACTGTCACAAAGATGCCGGTGTTGAGGTCCCATGCCACTTTGAGGCTGGTGTGATAGGTCTTTGGTCTGCACAGGGGTGGGGAGCAGAGGAGGAAAGGGGGTATGACCACCACATCCCTGAGCCGGGACCCAGTCTACATGGAGGGGATTATCTTTGGAGCAGTAACACAGTACCTGATCCAAGTTTTCAGGGTAGAAGGAGTCTTCTCACATCCCCACTCCCCTCACCCACTGAAGGGTCTGAGTGTGCCCTCCTGCTGGGCAAAGGTGAGGGCATAGTCCCTCCCACTTACCGGAGCTGGCCCTCCTCAGTTGGGGATGGGAATGCCAGGAGCAGCAGGCCAATGTTGATGAGAACCTGGTTGGTTTCTGGGCAGACCTGGGGGGCAAGGGGTGGTAACAGCTATTGAAGGTGACCCTCAGAGCAGATAGACCCTGGGCCTGCCTTGTTCTACCTCTGGGCCCACCTCTAGGATGACAATGTCATAGTCACTGAAGGAACAGAACTGGTGGCCCCAGGTCGCGTCATGGCGGATGACCTCGTTGATGACATACTCAAAGTCCAGCGTGAGCTGCTCCACCGTCAGGTACTGACCCTGTGGGCAGCAGGTGGAGGGGCGGGGGGGGGCCTGTGCCAACCGCCACCCCAGCAGGCTCCCGAGGGCTGCCCCTTGGCCTGCCTGCTGCCAGCACCAACCTGGACAGAGGTCCGCTCCCGCATGGGCCGCAGACTGCGACCACGGAGATCGGTCACCACGAAGGGCAGCGAGATCTTGTCATCCTCGAACTCTGAGAGGGCAGGAAGTGGGGGTAGGGGTGGCAAGAGGCCTAAGGTCCACTCCAGGCCAGCTTCCCATGCCCAGGGCCCTGCCCACTTTGTGGGCTCCTTGCTCACCATCCTCTGGCTCTGTCCCTTCGCCGGACCCCAGCACATAATACAGCTTGGTGTAGTTGACATAGCCAGGTTCGGGGGCTGGCGCCTCCACTGCAGGGGGGCTGTCCTGGGGCGCCACCTCCCCACCTGGGGGTAGGGGCTCAGAAGATGGGCGGCAGCAGCTGCCCGAGGGCCCTGCGCAGGGAGGTGGCCGGGCTTCCTCCAAGGTCCCACCCTTGGCCTCTTTGGCCCTGCGGAAGATGTCAGCCACAAACTCCTTGGCTTTGGCGATGGCAGGTGAGGGATCCAGGGTCCCAGAGAGCCGGGCTGGGGCTGCCTCGGGGCAGAGGCTGGGAAGAGGGGCAGGGGGCACTTCTGGGCTCTGGGGCCCAGGGGAACTGGCAGGGGCCGGGGGGTAGGTGGTGTGGTCATACAGGATTTGGCAGAAGCTGCTATCGCCTGGAACATAAAAAGAGATGAAGTGCAGGGTGTGGAGGGGGTATCAATAAATGAGCTCACGTCCAGGATGCTCTCCCGCCCTGGGGGGGTTCTTAGAAATACCATACTAAATGATCAATAGGAAACATCCACAAGAGAAAAAAGCCTTTTACACACATAGACATGCACACATAAACACACTCATTCCGACCTTATTCTACAGCATCTACTATATGCCACACACTGAGGGTACAAGAGTGAACAAGACAGACAAAAATCCCTGCCTTTGGGGAGCTGACAGTCTGTGCTGACAGCAGGTAAAAGCCACATAAGTTTGAGAGTTTACTACACAATCCTCTGTGTCCTCCCCAACTCCAGCGGACCTCTCTGTCCCCACCTGACTAGGGCCACAGCCTGCTCTGGAGAAGTGTGGGCTCAGCATGGAGAGCCCCAGCGCCCTCACTGAATTGAGCAGCACCATAGTTGGGCCCTGCCTGTACTGCCTCCTTTGGGCTCTCCATATCTTCCAGGTTCAGAGAGAAACTTGTCCAAGATCACAGTGAGAGAAGATTCAAGTCCGCCAATGCACTCCTGTCCACCAGAGTGATGGCACTTTCAGAGGGCGAGGGGGATAAGAATGGAAAATGGCCGAGTCAAAACTCTCTGTCTGTAAACACCCTTCTCTGGTGGGATGAGTGTTAGACATCGATGACAGTGCCCCTCTCCTGGGCTGGGTGTACATGGCTGAACCCTCTGATGTGGTCCATCCTAACGGGACCCACAGCCGTAGGGCAGGCGGCAGTGGCCCCATTCAGGATGGGCTCATTAGGGCCTTGCCCATGTAGGCACAGGTAGCCAGGGCAGGGGTAGAAGGCCTCAGATGGGCCTGGAACAAGGCACCCTGGTTCTGGCTGGTTTGTGGGTTCTGTTATAGACATCTAGTCCTCTCTTCATACCCATCGCCCATCCTAAGAGCAACCATTTTAACATACTGGGCATCTTTTTATTTGACTGTGTTCTTGCAAAAATGAAACACTGTTAACTTATACATCTTATCTGGTTTTAGATCTCGTTTCTTTTGCATTTGCATACAACTTTGAGACATGCTCCCTGGACGTGATGCTAGAGCTCTCACTGGGTCTGCTGCCATAAGGAATGTACCCACCTGTTCTGCCTTCTGAATCCCCAGGGATGGACACCAGGTGGCCCCCAGCTCCCACTACCACAGTTTGGGACATGCCCAGGTGCAAGGCTGCTGGGCTTCAGTCATACTCTGTTGCCATGTGGCAGTGGGAGTGCGGGAAGCCCCCAGCAATCCACGTCGCCACCAGCTTCCTAATGTTTGCCACTCTGTTGAGGGATATCGCATTGTGATTTTCACTGGCATTTTTTTCTTATTACCAAAGATGTAAGAGGGTCATCTGTCTACTCACCACTCCCTAAAAATTTTAATTAACGTTTCTCTTTTTGAAGACAAGGCAGCGCTGCATTGTCCAGCATGGTAGCCGATGGCCACATGTGATTGTTTAAACATAACTAAAATTAAAATCAAACACTCAGTTCCTTGGTCACATGAGCCACTCTGACGTGGCTTCTATTGGCAGCTATAGTGAACACAGATATGGAACATCCCAGGCCTGAGGAAAGTTCTAGTGGGCAGTGCTGAGTGGGGTGTGGCTGGGGTTGAATCTCAGCACTCCCACTCCCTGGCTGTGTGACTTGGATGAAGCACCTCTCTGAGCCTCAGTCTCTTCCTCTGTCACACGGGGCAGGGACAGGACTGACCTTGCAGGGCTTACAGCAAATGCTGTGACTATCATCAGTCCCAGAAGCCTACCTGCTGAGTGGACTGAGACGGCACAGGCCACTAAGGAGTAGCTGGTGTTGAGCAGTACCACCTGGTCCTTCTTGAGCTGAAAGGCGGGCTGAAAAGTGGGGAATGGGTACACCACCTGGTACTTGGTATGCAGCATGAAGCCGTGTCGCAGACACTGTGCGCTCGGGTCACCTGCAGCAACACATGCCCAAGGGCTGAGGCACCCCAGCATAATGATGCAGGCAGCCCGTGTCCCAGTGCCCCCAGCCCCTTACCTGGGTGGAGCCGGCTGGCTTCCCGGCAGGCGGCACAGCGGCCAGGCGGCGGCACGGCCACTGTGCTGATATAGATGTCACGGTGGTTCTCATCACTCATCATCATCATGTTCATGAGCATCCCATTGGCGGATCGGGTGCTGGGGGTTAGCACAGCTTCAGCTGTATAGCCCATGCACCCTTCCCACCCACCCTTGGCCTCACCATTCCTGAGTCTCACTTGAAGCCAAAGACGATGACTTTGGTGGCATCGCTGGGCCACTCGCACACAGTCAAGTACAGATCACTGTAGATCTCCTCATCCTGGAAGAGCCGCACCTGTCGGACCTGAGTGGCACATTTGGGTCAGTGGAGGATCAGAGTGGGCTATGGCCCACAGCAGCCTACCCAAGGCTGCAAAGTGCTGGACTGGAACTGGGGCCGGCATGAGCTGGCAGAAGCATCCCTCAGGTGGTGTCTCAGGCCAGGGAGCCCCAAGTAGCCCCCCACTTACACTTCTTTACTTTCCTGAGGACAGGCTAGGGAGGTACTCCCCACAAATGCAGAAAACAGGAGGGTGGGCCCAGGACTGGAAGCAGCCCATGGGAGACCTGCCCCAGCACAGGGTACTCAGCCAGACATATTAGTTTCAAGCTCCTGAAACCCGTTCACTTCTGAGCTCATGTAAACTGAGGTAACAGCACCCACCTCCTGAGGTGGGGGAGGACTAAAGCCAGTGTGGCAACTGGCTTGGTCATAATCAAGCTAATGGACCTGAGCCTGCAAAGTTCTATGAGCTGTATGGTCAGAGTTGAATGAACTACATGAAATTGCTGCTACTTACTCACTTTCAACTCTAAAAATGGCAATTTCATGTGGTTTGACCTAACATGGGAGTCCTGACCATGACCCCAAGAGCACATTTTTTACAGACAAGGAACCTGAGACTCAGAGGGGTGGCATGACCTGCCAGGGTTATGCTGTTGGGTGCTGGGCCTGGCCCTACCAGCTTGAGTTTGCTGTGGACGTTGAACTCCCACCAGTACAGGTGATAGATGTAGAAGGAGAAGTCGTCGTCCCCACTGCTGCTGGTGTAGGAGAGAACATATCGGCCGCACTTGGAAAAGCCCAGGAAGATGTGTCTGTGGCAGGGGAGGTAGAGTGGCCAGGTCAGGGCCAGCCTACCGCCTGCCCAGCCACCCCTCTGCCTGGCCTTAGCCTCACCCTGCATAGAGAAAGTCCTCATCCACGATGTTCTTTAGAGAAACGCAGACCCTGGGTGGCAGCTTCCGGAAGAGACGAGGGGAGAGCTGCCCACTGATCTGGGGAAGTAGAGGCCAGGATCTTGAGGCACCACCAGGCAGAGGCCACCTGTAGCCCCCCAGTCCCGTCACCCAAGGTAGAACAGCACCCCAGGCAGGCCCACTCCCTGCCAACCATAACAGTCAAGGGTGATCCAAGCTCCAGAAGGTAGAATCGGCTTGGGGAAATGGGCTGGCTAGACCTCCCTTGAGCCTCCCTCTCCACCAGGGACCTGCACCACCCTCCCAGCCCCACACTTTTTCAGCCTTAGGGTCCCTCTTGCCCAAATCCTTCAAGCTCTAAGAATCAGCACTGGCATCACCTCTCCCAGGAAGGTTTCCCAGTCACCCCGGCCACACCGGGCTACCTGGTTGCCTTCCTTAAGGCTGTCTCATGACGAAATGAGCTGTGGGTGTCCTCAATTGCTAAGGAGGCTGGGATGGGGGCTTGACCAACTGCACTCACATGTCTTCAACCCACTAGCCTACACATGGTGTGCTCAGGTCCCCTGGGACAGCCCTGGCCTCAGCTGGGGGTCCAATGGAGACAGACAGAAGTGTGAGGCTGACCAGTGATCTTACAATTCTTGTCTGATTTCCCTTTCTCATTCTCCCTTCTCAACTTAGCCGCTTTCCAACTGTCTCCCAAAAACTTCACCAAGGAAAGATCTGGGGGAACAGGCAGGCACAAGCTGGGTACTAAGTCATCAAATAACCCTGGATCCTGCTACCCAGGCTGATGGGAGACATACAGTCCTGCCTACAAGAGAGTCCAGTCTGATGAGAAAGAGAAAGCCCTGTCTAGGGAGCTCTCTGGACAATGGAGGAGAAAGCCAGCCTTTAGGAAGGTCCCAGTCTGATGGAACAGCCCTGTCAGCGACGCCCAGGCTGACATGGGAGACATGATCTCTGTCCAGGGAGCTTCCAGAGTAAGGGCGGAGCCACAGCCCAGCCCAGGGAGCTCTCAGGCTGAGGGCGGAGATTGCCCTTGCCCAGAGAGCTCCAGTCAAAAGGAGGAGACACGGCCCTTTCCTCACTGAGCTCCTAGCCCGATGGAGAAAGCAAACTCCCTAGCCACAGCGACACAGTCCTGACTCAACTGCTGCTGGCCTGACCAGATTCACACCTCTCTGCCCTCTGAGAGCTCCCAAACTGATCCATGACAGATCCCTGAGCGCTGGGAGTTTATAGTCTGGTGGGGGGAGAAAGAACCCTGTTCAGGTGGCTCCCAGTTTGAGGAGGCAAACCAGGCCCTGGGGGACCGCTCTCCCATTCAATAGGGGAGGCAGAGACAGGTACAGGAACTCCCAGCTACCGTGTGGTTAGAGCTGGACGGAGACAGTAACACCAGGCGGAAGAAGCGCTAAGCTGATAGCAGGGGCTCTGACGAGGGGGCGGGAAAGCTCCATAACAGAGAAGCCACAGGAGCAGGGTTTTGAAAAATGAATCTGACCCTGGATCGCCCCCTTCCTCCTTATTCCTCCAGCGGCCTCTAAGACCCTCTCCATCCCAGCCCCGTCGCCGGTGCCCCGCCCCCAGACCCTCCATCCAAGCCCCCGTCGCAGCCCCCTCCATCCAAACCCTCTCCCCAGGGCCCCGCCCAGCCCCCTCCTTCCGAGCCCCCTCCTCAGGGCTCCGCCCCCAACCCCTCACCCCGCGAACGCCTTCCCTCCCTCCACCTTCCTCGTTCCTCCTCCACGCCCTCCGGTACGCTCCTCCCGGACTCCGGGCCTCACCTTGACCCGCTCCAGCTGCTTGAGGACGTGCTCCCGCCGCCGCCCCGCTGCCCGTTCCCCCAGCGCCCCCGGGGCCACCCCCGCCGCTCCCGGCCCCGCTGTTCCGCTCCGATTTCGAGCTGGGCGCCATTTTCACCCCCTCCCTCCACTTCCGGAGCAACCGGCCTCTTCGCCCCACCCCCGCCGCCTCCTCATTGGCCTCTTCCTGGGACTGAGGCCCGCCGGTTGGGTGAAATCCCACACCCGGGGCCTCATCCCGCTGTGCCTGTCCATCACAGCCAGCTCGGCCCTTGATTGGTAGAAACGGTACAGCCTCCGCGTGTCCGTCGCTGTATTCCCGCCTTCCGGCAAGGATACACCAGACAGAGGCCCCGTTTGCGCCCCACGCCAAGATGACTTTGACCCGATAGGTGGAGGCCCCTGTTCGTCCCGACGGCGTCACGCCCTCCCCCTGGTGGCTGGTGAGTTTCCATGGAGACCATGGGCGGTCCAGGCCTGTGGGCGGGGCGGTGGGAGCTTGTGGTCCAGAAAGCCTGAATCTCCAGCCCAGGGATGTCTGCGGGCGCCGAGGCCTGGGAAGCAACAGGGGCCACCCGGCTGGCCGAGGAAAGGGATTTGTAAAAAAAAAAAAAAAATTTTAATCTGAGATTCGATTAAAACATCTGGGCTGGGGGCGGCCTGGTGGGCTGATGGTGATGATCGTTATCAATCGATTATATAGCGCTTTATACGTGTCAGACACGATTCCGAGCTCACAATTCTGTGTAGTAGGTCGCTATTATGCCCATTTTATATACGATAGTAATCATAATAATTCTTGAATGTGCTATGAGTATCACCTGCACAACAGTTTTGGAACTAGATCATTTTATATCTTCATTTTACACATCACGAAACGGAGGCTTACAGTGTAGCGCTCCTGACTACCTGGCACATGTATACCTCAGATGCAAGCTGTTGTGACTATAATCAGAGAGGAAGTGAATGGATCTCGCTCTTCCTATCCTTCCAGTCTCACACTTTCACTTATTTAACATACTTACTGAGCACCTACTATGTTCTAAGCAGAGAGAATACAGCAGTGAACAAGACAGACAATAAAACAAGAAAATTAATTTCTGTCGTCTTATTCCAGATAGGATTAGTGATCAAGGGGAAGGAAGAAGGCTGCTTTGACAAAGCAGTCAGACAGGGGCCCTGTGAAGGTGAGAAGGAGGAATATTCTAGCAAAGACAAAAGTTTTAGGGAAGTGAGGGTT